ATACACCCATCTTTAGTGTTATTTTTTTTATGTCTCAAGGGCGAATAATATGCCTTGAGAGATGGGGTCAGCATTCTCCCATGTGTATTGTTTTGTCTCAAGGGCGAATATTATGCCTTAAAAGATGGGGTCAGCAATGTCAGCATACCCCCATGTGTATTGTTTTGTCTCAAGGGCGAATAATATGCCTTAAAAGATGCGGTCAGCATACTCCAATGTGTATTGTTTTGTCTCAAGGGTGAATAATATGCCTTGAACAATGGGGTCAGCATACTCCCATGTGTATTGTTTTGTCTCAAGGGCGAATAATATGCCTTGATAGATGAGGGGTCAGCATACTCCCATGTTTGTTGTTATATTTTGTCTCAAGGGCGAATAATATGCCTTAAAAGAAGGGGTCAGCATACTCCCATGAAATATTTATGAATTGTTTTTTAGGATTACAAATTGAAAGATGGGGTCAACATACTCCCATGAAATATTTATGAATTGGTTTTTGTTAGGATTACGAACTGAAAGATGGGGTCAGCATACTCCCATGAAAGATTTATTGATTGTTTTTCAGGATTAAAAAATTGAAGAATGGGGTAAGCATACTCTCGCATGGATTATTTTATTTATGAATTATTTGCACGTTAACAGTAGCATAAGATAGATTTACTAATATGCAACAAATAATGGAAATGGATAGATGTTTCAGCGAATTAGGATATCGCCGCCACTGGAGTCGACGGTACCACGTCTGCCCTGTTAGAGTCAGTGAATTAGGATATCGCCGCCACTGGGGTCGATGGTACCACGTCTGCCCTGTTAGAGTCAGTGAATTAGGATATCGCCCCCACTGGGGTCGACGATACCACGTCTGCCCGTTACAGTGTCCAGGACCAGGAGAGCGGGGTACTTGACATTCGACCAGCCGAACGATATAAAGTGATATATGCCGTTAAAGACATTCTTTATTTTGTTCCTTAATTAATTACATTTCAAACATTGTTTACGAGATTTTTAATAAAACATTATAAAACCATGTTAACACGTGTTTTATGAAGTGGCTATATAGGGTGTTATAGTATACAGGGTGATAAATCATTTTAAATCAATAATTTTGAAGTTAATTCTTTTAACTTCTAACAGTAGAGTTAAAAATGCTGGACGGATATTGTTGAAATCCAAGCTTTTATTTTAAATGATTAAATAAATATATAAATTGAAAATGCTGGACGAAAATTGTTGAAATCCGAGGTGTATAGTATTTATTTTGAATGAATAAAAAATATATATAAATTAAAAATGCTGAACGGATATTGTTGAAATCCGAGGAGCACAGCTTTAATTTTGAAATTATTTTAAACATATTAATTGAAAAATGTCGGACGAATATTGTTGATATCCGAAGAGCAGATTGTTTTAAATTACTTATTTTAAACATGGAGTGTTGTGTCACTTATTTGAAAATTCAAGGTTTTGCTTCGTCTCAGAATGTGACGAGGGGATGAGCAGGAAACTTTTTCGAAATAATTGGCGTGGAAAGAATTTGGCGGCTGATATTGTAATTTTGCTATTTTTATTTGATACGTCTTTTCTTTTTGTTTAATATTTTTGTAAATTAAAATAATACAAAGTAATAACAAGTCTTTACATAAAAAAGAGACTATTTCAAGAGCGAAATATAGATCTGTATGGCCGTGGTAAACATTTTTTGTGTGATTACTTATTGTAATATTGTAGAGAAAAATCGGCAGTCAAGAGCGGGGAGCGCGGGGAACGAACGCGGTAGTAGCGGACCGTCGTCTGCCCTTTCCCAGGCAGAACGATTTGAGTCGCCTTGATTATCTAGTGTGATTAGCTGTTGTTGCTGTTGGCTGATTTACACGCATTGTGTGCTATCGGTTATCCCTTGGTAACTAAATAATTATTTGACTTAATAATTAATAAAATCTAACATATGGTAAAAATATTTATTTGCATGGGGCCTCGGAAATTTATTTTACTTATCAAGTTATCAATGTTTTAACAAAGAAAATATGATTATTTAAATAAATTTTCACAAAATATCTGAATGTAAATACATAATATTTCAAGCAAATCATGATCTAAATATATTTTTACTCTAAGTAAAATCAAATTTTAACTACATTCAATAAATTGTTGATGAAAATCCAATTTAAGTTTGTCAGCAAATTTTACAGTTGTGTGAATAATGAATCAAATTTGGCAAGAGAGTGATCTTCAGTTAGAGTTGAGCATCCATAATTGAATTAACACCTGACAAGCCCGAAACTTAATGTATGATAATGAATATATGATAAGGGCGAGGAGGATATTTACTGTGCCAAGACGGAGGTGCTCTTTTGGGAATCAAATTCGCTGGCAACCCTTTGAGAGAGTCTGTCGCTACGGTCTCTCAAGGTGTAGTTTCTTATCACATTTGGAAAAGGAATGTGCCGAGCTGAAAACAGCGGTAAACTTCAAGTAAAGTAATAGCAAGGGTTATGAAATTTATTTTCCGATGATGAGTTTTGATACTCCAATCTCTTCTTGAAACAATAAGAGAAGTTTATGTTTTTCTGTTGTCCTTTTGATTTATTATTCTTCATTGTCTGTGTACAAATATTTACTCTTCTTTAGAAATATATCAAATAAGTATAACCGAAAAGAAGAACATTGACACAATTAAATCATTAAAGAAATATAGAAAAATATTGCTAAGGAACAACCAAAAAGTATAAAAAACAGAAATTTAATATTATTTTAAGATAAACAAAAGAAACAGGTAACGGCAGATCATTAAAATAAAGCTTTGTTTGGAGAAGTTAAAATATACGTTGGACAATTTTATTTTTCAATTATGTATTAAAAAGTTTTTTCATCAGAATCCAATTAATTGCTTATTAAATATTTTGTAAAAGGTGGATTTAAAGAAAAATTCAATCCAAATACATAATAATAATAATTAACATCCATTTTGTCCAAAATAATAAATATTTCTATATTTACATATTACTTTTGGCATACCTTTATCTGAATTTAAATTTTACAGAATATCTTTTGGAGAAATGTCGTTGGAACAATTTGAATTTTCTAATCCAGTGCCTGTCTTAGAAATTATAGTATTTTTGGGAGATGGTAACTTTGTATATGTATATCACTACAATGAAAAAACAACCTTTTGAAATTCGTATAAAATTACATTTAATAAATTTAGTTTTTGCCATCCTCAGTGCTAATATTTGTAAAACACAAGAAATTTTTTGGAGTACTGCATGATCACAGAATGTTTTCTTACCAGTGAGCACTAAGATTTATTTTTCTTTATCGAGGTTAATAAATATTTAATCACTAAATTTGTATTACATAACAGTATAACTTGTCCACTGAAGATAGACAAGTTTGAGGATTGAATAAAAATGAAGTTCATAGAATACTAACAAATTTATAATTTCTGAAAATGTTAGAATATATTCCAGAGTTTCTGTTAATTTTGTCAACTTCATCCGGTACTTGATTCGCTCAAGATAAGACGTGCTCCTCGTATAATAATACAGATATATTTGGTTAATTAATTTAAATTAGGCAGAAACCAAAATTGAGAGACCCTATTGTTAGGTACATTTTTTGTTTATTTAGTCAACTCGCATTTTATTGTTACATATACAGGGTGTCCCAATAGTGTGTGGAAGTTCGAAATATCCTATATTATAGAAAGTATCAAACAATGTTATTTACAAAAGTTGTAAATAATATTAATCTATATATTTCAAAATTATTTTCGATTATACAGAGTGATCCATAACTTCAGAATTGATCAAACCTATGTTTTTTAAATGGACCACCCTATATTTAATTGTAAATTTGAATTCCCCTGACTTTGCCCTTCAAGTACAGTTAAATCGGTTTATTATTTAAAACATGAAATTAAAAACAAAATACAGTTTTTTATAGCCCACCCGGTAAAAATAAAACATAACAGTGTTTCGCACATAACAATTTAATTTATTTTTTATTTTATTTCAGGAACGAGGTTGAACACTATGTTTTTATCGAGAAAGAAACTTCTTAATATCATTCTCGAAAGAATGAAATTAATAGAATTTGCTCACAACACCGCTAGATACTTTTTTGAAAAGTACCCACGGTCAATATGCCTCCAACATTGCACAAATACTTTATACATGGGCCTGAAATAATATCTTCTGCTTTATTGCCTATAGACCAATTAACAGAGAAAACTAATGAGGACGTCTTTAATTTGTTTTTACTCAGTTTCGACCTTGTAATCACGAGCAAACGAAAATTAAAAAAGAAAGAACCTGCAGCACTTTCCTAAAAAGGCAGTAGATTTGTTTAAATCTGGACTCGTCCAGCTTCATAGCCATGGTATATTCATGACACTGATGATGACCGTAGAGACGATGAAGAAAATGTCTTATCACATTCTAAAGAGGATGAAATTTGATTACAATTATCATAGCTTTTCTAAATGAAATTATTATAATATTACATTTTTATTATCTGTATCTTTAACGTGTGGAGGGTGGATTACCCCCACGGCACTTAGGCCTCATTAGGTCCATGACATTTTTATTATATTATATGTTAGTATTACAAAAGCAAATACATAGAGGGCTTAATAGAATATACATTTTTTTATATTATATTCTTAATAACTTTCTATTTTTTTTTTTTGGAAACAAACACTTTATAAGCCCTCTATGTATTTTCATTTGTAATACTAACACCTCTACGAAGCAATATTTAACTTACAAATTCATAAAGATAGTATGTGATTTATTGTCAACTTTGATGGCTTGTTGCCCCAGTGTGCGCCGCCTTTAAGCTATTTAGGTACTTATCAAGCAATCATTCACATAAAAATATTTAATAAACATTTTTACATGATTGTGATTTGGTTACTTTATACTATTAATAGAATGGCTCTTGACCTTGTTTCCAACCATTAACGAAAAGGGGGATTTACTTTAGTACATAACAATAAACTATAAAAGAATATTTCTTATTTTATCAAAAGAATACACATAATTATAAAGAAACATGTGGAACGTGTGGTTAGTGGTTTTTTTTCTGTGCTTTGCAAAGATACAGTGTAAGTTAAATTGTTTATTTTTGATTTCTACAAATTTAATATTTGAAAATATATTTTCAAGTGGAGATCTTGTAAACAAGAATAATAATTTTTGATGTAAGTTAAATCTTTTTTCTATTTGCATAAAACTTTTGAGACGCACTATATAAAAATTTCTGTAAAATATTAACTAAATCTTTTCATCTATATTAGGAAAAAAAATTAAAAAACTTCATAATATGATACTCTTATCACAACAAGAAAAATACACAATCAGCCAATGGATTATATCCCCACTTATAAAATCCAATCACACACACTGTTCTGTTCAGACAGGACCGGTTTTGTACATTGTTTCTTTCTTGAAATATTATTTTTACATTTTATGATAATTTCATTCAATTAACAAGTATTTAAAAACCATATATGTTTAGATGTGGATACATTATATTTAATTTCAAATATAACACTAAAAAAACCAACATACTCTGCGAAAGATTGCAAGTAGCTCTCAAAATTATAAAACAGTGGTACAAGGACCATTCACTGTCTGTCACTCCCAAGAAGACAGAAATGGTCTTTTTCACATGAAAAAGGAAGAAAATGAAATTTAAACCTGCAGAACTCCTAAACACAAAGCTAAACTTTGCAACAGACGTGAATTACCTAGGTATCACCTTTGACAGTAAGTTAACATGGAACTTAGATTTAGAAAACAGAGTCAACAGAGTATATAGTCCAGGATCCGTAAGTAAGGTCGACCTTCACCCATCTGTTTACCAGATGAAAGTTTATTTTTATTAAATAAAATATGTTTTTAAATATACCGCAAATGAGTTGCCTAAAAAAATACGGTCACGGCCATTTTTCGCTTTTCTTTCTGTGTACAGATGAGAAAAGTATAGTAATCATGATAAAAGTTGCTTATGATGTCATTCTTTATTATTTTGTCCCTATACGTGATTTCCCTAAAATGGACCTAATTCGAGATATTTAAGAAAAATTGCAAAGTTCGAATTTTGAAGACAACTCAAAAACGGATAAAGAAAAAAACACCAAATTTAAAACTAAGGTTTTAATCTATCCTGCGATAAGCTGATTAAAGTTTAGGCATAATCGAAGCATCTGAAAAATACTTTACAGGGTGTTGTTTTTTTTATTTTTAGAAAATAAATACTCTGGACCGTATTTTCTTAGGCAACCATTTTGCGATATATTTATAAATATATTTTATTTAATAAAAAGATACAATTTCTGAATTATTTAATAGAAAAGAGTTACCACTGCACTGCTGGCTGCAGGTGAAACTATTTGTTTGGAAGTGCGATTGATGAATTGATATGACTATACCACTCATTGAAATATGAACCAATGAAAACGCTCGATTTTCCATAGTTATCATGTATTACAACGGTTATTTACTTATTATGACGCAGATCGAATATTCGAACCCTTGTATAATCGAATATACAAGAGTTCGAATATTCACTTATGTCAAAACTCGAGGGATAGGTAACTGTGATCTCCATTTCAAAATTTGACAGTTGTCAATTTTGATCATGGCTCGGTTTAGCAATATTTCTACGGAATTAATTGATAAAATTATTGAAAATAGTAAACCAACCAACACGGTAAAAACCGAATCATTCGTTTCGCGACAATTTGAAAAGTTTTGTGATGACCGCAGTTATCAGTTAACTGAAAATACTTCTAATGAAGAACTTTGCAACATTCTTAAAGATTGGGCAATCAACATGAGAAAAGCCGACGGCACCGACTACAAGGAAGGTGTAGTGAAAACTATTTGGAATCTTACTGCCAAAAGAGTGCAGCAGAAATACTTCAAAGAGTTTAATCGCACCATCGATCCATTTAAAGATATTGTTTTTCGCACTGCGGTACTCGCGAAAAACGCCAAACGCAAACAACTTCAAGCTATTCCGTCAAAAAGAAAGAGTAGCTCTATTGCATTAAATATTGAAGATATTGAGAAAATTCTAAATGCATTAGATGAAAATACACCCTCCGGACTCCAGCGTAAATTTTATCATATTGCAGCCATAGAACTAGCCTGGCGTGGTGGTGAGGCTGTGTCAGCTCTTTTAGACTATTTTGTGGAAGAAACAGACAACTACGGCAAGAAAACAGGACGTATTGAATATAATACTGTTTTTTCCAAAACTGCCCAAGGAGGAAATCAACGAACTACTGATAGTAAATGGTTAACTCCAAATACACAAAACCCCACTCATTGTCCTGTTAGATTGTACAATAAAATGATGAGCAAACGGACCAAAAATATAAAAACCAGACGTCTATTTCTTACTGTAAATAAAGACTGGGACAAATATCCGACTAGTTGCTGGTATAAAAATTGTCCACTTGGAGTAAACGAAATTAATAAATGGACAAAACTGTCTGCAGAAGCTATAGGAATCGATACAAAAAAGGTAAAAATAACCAATCATTCTAACAGATCGACCGCAATAAGTGGATTATCAAAAGCAGGCACTAGTGTCCAAGAAATTATTAAAATTACGGGTCATACTTCAGAGCATTCAATACAACCATACCTGCAGTTAAATGAGGACCATCATAAGAACATTATATCAAATTTAAGAAATGAGACAACTACAACATCCTCCACTCTTTGCTCTACAAGTGCCGTGGCTCCAATGTCAAATAATGTTTTTAATAATTGTACGTTCAATATAAGTAATAAATAAATTTAAATAAAACAAATTACCTATGTACTTTTTATTTTCATTTCATGAACTTTTTTGTAGGTAAATAGAACTTGAAATAACTTGAAATTTAGTAGATTGCTGTCTACCTACTATATATATATATATATATATATATATATATATATATATATATATATATATATATATATATATATATATATATAAATAGAAATGTTATTTAAATTATCCAGGTGGTCTAGCGATAGAGTTCTCGCTCTGCAATCGCAAGGTCCAGGGTTCGATTCCCCTAGGAAACTTTTTTTTTCTTTTTTTCTTTATTTTTCTTTTTTTTTTTTCATTATTTTTATTTTTTTTTTTAATAATTTCGTGCTATAGTCTATCTGTATACAACTCGACAACTGAAAATTTCCGAAACTCGACGTATTGCCTAACAAAACACCACTCGACCTACGGTCTCGTGGTGTTTCAGGCAATACGTCTCGTATAATCGAAAATTTTCAGTCGTCTAGTTGTATAATGTATGAAAATTTTATCTTCTGTAACCTATTTTACATATCATCAAAGCTCAGCTATGACTGCTATTTGCTATGTCATAATATGGATGTAGTATGAGCTTGATGTAAAATGGAGGATCAGGGTAGTTTGTAAAAACAGCAATTACCGGAAGCTGATAGAACCGTATGGCGCGAAGAGCTTTATATGAATATAAATCTTTAAAATTATTACTTAATTTATGTTATCTGATTCTGAAAACTTCTAGGAGATACAGGGATATTCGGTTGGATGAAGAAATATTGAGAATCAATCACTTCGGGTTTTATTCTCCTGAATTTTCAAATTAATTTCCTTTAAAATGATCTGAACGCATTTTTTTTATGCTTAACATATACTATCTCTATGGTATCTCTATAGTATCTACTACTACCATTGTTATACATATTCAGGTACAAAACAATTTTTTTTTAATTTTCTGTTAAAATTTAGTCAGCATTAAATGTTTTTAATACAATATAAAACAGTAAATTAAAAAAAATTAAAAAGTTTAATAAATTAACTAACAAAGTAAAAAACAGTACACAATCAATAAAATCAAAAGACAAATATTAATACAGTTCAAGCAACGAAAGCTCAAAAAAGATATAGAGGGAACTGCAAGGAACATAATTTTTAGAAGGTGTATATATCAAAAGTCCCCACCCGTTGCGTTTGAGCCGGGAGGGAGAGGGGGTCTGAAGATCCTATTTTTCGGATTTTTGCTTATAGCTCGGAAACTATGCGTCCTAGCGGCATGGCCACAAAATGCTAAAAGTTTTGTTCAGTCGAGTTTTTTGATATCTTGTATAGTTTTTGATATATCAGCTCTTGAAAGTTTGTAATTTAGGAAAAATAAATTTTTGACTTACAAATTTTGCTCTATTTGACCAGATAACTTTTCAACGATGCACCCAAAAATAAATGCTGACCCTAAAGTTGTAGAGAATTAAATTCCCTTCGATAATGTATATTACTTTAGTATTACGAAAGGCTGTGCCAGCGCTAAGTGTGGCTGCAAATAAGCAAACCTCAAATGTTCCACAGCATGCCAAAATTGCCAGGGAACCTGCCTGAATGGGGTCCCTCTAGTTGACTCCAAAAAATAAGAAGGACAGGACCGTTTCCCAACAGGGATCCTATGGAGAAGATATCGGAGATAAAAAGATAAGGATGAAGGTCCTTCCCACCCCCAAGAGCATGAAATTGGAAATTGACCCAATTTTACATACTGTTGTAATGTTTTATGTAAATTAACTTAATAAAAGTTATTTTCAGATAATGGTTGTGATTTATAAAACCATCCCACTGTCTTAAAGACACTATTACATGCAGAAACATGGTTATAGTAATATATTTTCCCATTAAGATGGTCTAGATATTCTTTAATTAAGTGTGAGGAACTTGTTTAGAGGGCCCACAACTATATATTCTAAAATGAGTATCTGTGCTATTTAGACGTCCAGTACTCACTATAAGTACCTAATGGTGAATATTTCGACTAATACGTTGACTGGGAATATTGAGAAATTGAAAGATTCATTAGTCGGCAGTTATCGCAAAACTTCGAATTTCACGCTCAATTTTGAAATTGCTTTAACATTTGAAGGAAAATAGACGAAATAGTAAAGTAATATCTATTATTGATGGGAATTTAATTTTCTACAATCCTATGATCAGGATATATTTTTTGCGTGCATCATTGAAGAGTTATCCGACCAAAAAAGCAAAATATGTGAGGCAAAAATGTTTTTTCCAAAATTATATACTTTCAAGAGCTGATATATCTAAAACTATACAAAATATCAAAAAACTTGAATAAGTGAAACTTTTAGCAAATTTAATAGGCTTTCATATCATATTTAATATTCATGGGTGGCACAAAATTGATCGAAAACATTTGATCGAATACATTTGATCGAAAAAATTTGATCGAATGCATTTGATCGAAAAAACATTTTATCGAATAACAATTGATGAAAACGGAAAATGATCGAACAGAAAAATGATCGAAAAAAATATTGATCGAAAAGAAAATTGATCGAAAATAGATTTGATAGAAATTTTACCTAACCTGTGTGGCCTAGAATCATCGCTGGTTGCTTCGCAAAAACAAAATTGAAAAAATAAAATAAACTTAAGTAACGTACCTAACTATCCTAACTTGTGCGAGAGCAATCAGTTAAATTTGAATAACACAGGTTAGGTAAATTAATTTTTTTTATTTCTATAATTTTTTTTGTGAGGCAAACCGCGACGTTTTCAGACTGGAGCAATTTAACGGACTTATCTGATACAGGTTAGGTAAGTTAGTTAAGTTTTATAAAAATAAATAAAAATAAAGAAAACTTAACTAATTTACCTTACCTGTGCGGCCTGGGGCAATTTAACTGATTGTTCTGACAGAGCTTAGGTAAGTTAGTTAGGTTTTTTAAAAACTTAACTAACTTACCTAACCTGTGTCAGAGCAATCAGTTAAATTGCTTCAGGCCGTACAGGTATGGTAAATAGGTTAGGTTTTCTTTTTTTTATATTTTTTTTTTGCAAGGCAAACCGCAACGGCTTTAGGTCGTACTGGTTAGGTAAATTAATTAATTTTTTTATATAAAAAAACTTAAAATAATTTACCTAAAATGATCCATCAAAAGACAACTCGACCTTATTGAAATACATATTTTGTGAGAATTAATCACATTTTTTTAATCCAAATGAAGATAAATAACCGTTTAGCTCTATAATTATTTTTAAATTAATAGTATTTTAAAAATAAAATTTGTTAAACGAGGTAGCTATCATTTGAGATTATTGAAAAATTTGCCATTAGTACCTAATTTTGATAGCAGCTTAGTTTAGGTTCCCTGGTAGTTGGGATTAGACGAACGGTTGAATAATATCGTTTGATTTTTTGATATTTTACCATTTTTAATGTTGATTTTAGATATATTGTCCTTTAGATCTAATGAATTTTCGATCTATTGTCTTTTCGATAAAATGTTATTCGATAAAATATATCTTCGATCAAATGTTATTCGACCAACTGTATTTTCGATCAACTGCCATTCGATAAAATGTATTTTCGATCAAATTTCCAATTCGATCAATTTTGTGCCACCCAATAGTCATATCGCTGAACTGATAGTTTCCAAGATATAAGCCAAAAACTGAAAAATGGCTGGACTAATGCTAGAACTAAATAGTTATATAAATGCACAAACGCCATTCCCAAAGTTAGCACTAACCTTGCGCCAATTCTGTCTTCCCAGTAGTGCCACATTAAAACTCAGTTATCATGGCGGTCAACATGTAGGGGCTCAAAATATATTCCCGATATTTGCTGCGTTTGAATATCCACATCGCATGCATCTGAGATGTGTTGAATTATTTTTTATCACGTGACAGAGGATAAGATTCAAATGTAGATGTAATAAATAAATGCTATAGATGCAGGGCTGGTATATCTAAGGGGGTCGCCACATAGGAGTCCATCTTGGACGCCATTTTTTCGAAATAGTAGTCGCCAGGCTTGCCAATATAAGAAAATAAAATCACCATTTTTTTTAATGACATTTTCATTATAAAATGCCCATATTTTTTAGGATAAAATATTTCAAGTTAATAAATTATCAATAATCTCACATGTACATAGAATACGTCGTGAAAAGTAGATCACTTTCAATTTTGTGCTGTTTTGGTTTGGTTCATTTTCAAAGGTAATTGAAGAGATGAAGACAATTTTCTTATAGATGAGGAATTAAAGATGCATAGCAAATTATGGCTTCCTTTCTTAGAGTTCCAGTCCCATAAGTCTATTTATTTTAGGTCTTTTTAAATTGTTGGTTTATTCACTTCATTTGTATGTTTTTATTTAATTTGAATAATTTTGTGTAATATCTTTCGATTTATTTTCTATACATTTAAGCATGTATTTGTTCGCTATATCTTACAAAGGATGACATTGAAATACCTTTACAACAGAGGTACTTTCCTTAAACTGGCCGACATTTGAAACTGATTACAGTTCTTACAGAAAATCTCCAGTAAAAAATGTCTGCATGCATAATAACAGTAGCACAGGTTAACAAAGCTAACGAAAGAGATGGAAAAAACTTTTTCTAGCTTTTTTATTATATCCGGGCAATAGTGTTAACAGCAGACCACAAGAATAACCAAAGTTTAGTAATCAAGCAAAATATTTCAGTATCTCCAGAATTATAAACGTATGAAAACAATAATAGGAAACATGTATGGCATCGAATAGGAAATTACCCAAATTAGCATGTCTATAGTGAATATTACATTTAAAAATATATTTTTAATCAAAACTTTTGGGCTTCCACTTCAATATTAACCATATAGAAATACATATGCATTTTATAGTACCTATTAAGTAAGATTCGGATTAAATGAACTCACAATTTATAAACATTATTGAACGAGTATATTCTTATTAAATACATAAATTAGTCTGAACCACACATCTTTTTGTTTTCACTTCTAGTGGCAAAGTCTATACATAAAAGTGATTACTAATTCACAGTATTTCAAATTTATTATTTAAGAAGACCAGTTATTACAAAATATGCTTGTCGATAACTAATTTCTCTTAAATAATGGTTTTTCATTTATCAACATTTTACAGCACTTTGTTTATGTGAGACATCTATCTAGCTCTTAATTAAATCACATTTACAACATTTAAATCAAGTAATTACATTTTTATATTCAACTTATATATTCTTAATATTATTATTAGAACTTAGTCACTTTTTTTTTAATTTATTTTTTAATTTAAATTTTTTGACTGTGGTAACAGAATCCATTCGCCAAACCACAAACTTTGTCACTTAAAAATGTTGAAAGAGAATGTCATGAAGGTAAAATTTTTTCTTCTATGATGTTGTCGATGCAATTTTAGGTTGTAAACGTTTTGTCCAACACCTTTTTCACAATTTATCCGAAGCAACACTATAAAAGATTTAAATCCTGGATTTCCAGCATTCAGTTTTGAGATAAGTGTAGTTACGATGCAGTTTCAGAGATAATTTTCACATGAACACTTCTTACCACAGCACAAACGTATGTACAAATCCTTCCTCCATGCATGTACCTATTCATGTAACATTAAAATAAAGTGGAAATGAATTGCATAATTTGGTATATAAAAAGCACAAAATATTTTTAGTTTTAATTCTGCTACGAGGAAAACAGTGGTTCATTCCACTTGTATCATATTGACATTATCATGCACGTTAAAAGTAGATCTGCTCTGTTTTTTTTATACTATTACGGCAGGACAAACGATAACCTTGAATTTCGACCATAGATATGGAGGATCGCCAAACGAACATTAGAAAAGTGTTGCCAACTTAGGCTGACTACTATTTCCCCCTAGCCTCAGTCACCCCCTCATCCATTTACTGGGTCTATGTCGCGACCCCCTTAGATATACCAGCCCTGCTATAGATGTAGTAAAAACGAAAATAACAAGTTAGACGTTTATACTTTTTGCTTTTGACTTTTGAGACCAGAAATCAACCTAAATTTATAATCTAAACAAAAATTAAACAAACTAGTCACTTCTATATTTATGCTAGCATAAGTAAAGGATAAACCGATAAACTTAAATTCACAGAACTACCAATTTCTGGCACAGAACGAACATCTCATTCACATCTCACTTCAAATCGAGATGTAAAAAATGTAATCTGGACAGCTACCTCTCGGATAAACAAACGCAGATGCAGATGTAGTAGATGTGCCAGATGTGTATACACAAACGCTCCACAAGTAAAAAATGCATCGGATGTGGGCATTTAAACACAGCAATTGTATCTTGGGTTTCTAACATTTATGAACCTTCTATGACAAATTTCTGGCTACATCACTGGCTAAAAGTAGACCTTTTATGTAGCGATTATCTAAAGCTGCTTCTGATCTTTAGGCGATGATTGTCCACCTATTATAACCAGGGCTGACTGGAATGCCAGTGATCCTAAAGAAATAAAACCACTGTCAATAAATCCTCCACCTTATGTACTAGTGCATCACTCAGCTACTCAGTCATGCTTTACAGTAGAAGCATGTAAAAGGCTAGTTAAAAGTATTCAAAATGTGCATATGAATACTAATGGCTGGGAAGATATAGGTTACAACTTTTTGGTGAGTAATTATCATAATAACAATAAAATAATTAAAGAAAGGTATTCAGCTCTTCGAATGTGTGGTCATCTTTAATACTAAGATATTGTTACTTAATAAAATAATATTAAATATATAAAAACAGTGCAACAATTAGGTTACTTGGTAATTTTTTTAAATCGAATAATATGGTATGTTCGAATTATGTCAAATATTAAAAAAGATATCTCGATTATTAGGCTTTCCAAACAAATGAATTGCCAGTGGGAAAGTTTTGCATATCTAAGGGTTGCGACATACGATGTATTTTATCTGCTATATGTAAAATCATAAATAATAAATTACATTTAAATATTTTATGTCAAACACAATAAAAATAATGTTTAAAAAACCTGCTTATACATTTCTTTATAAATTGGCAGGCTTGACGACTACTATTTTGAATAAAAATAGCGTCCAAGATGTAAGACTATGTCGCTACCCCCTTAGATATACAACAACTTCCCACTATTGTTTAACAGGTCGTTGGAATGCCTAATTGATATACGACATAATAAGATTTGTGCTGAGTCGACGTTAATAATGAATAATAGCTGAATACTGGAGTGGTGATAGCGAATTCAATATTTTGTTTGGTGTAAAAGCTTAAGCTCTCAAGATTATTATATAATAAAAATTAAATCACTATTGTTTTTTTTTTAGATTGGTGGCGATGGAAGTATATACGAAGGTAGAGGTTGGGGCATTCATGGTGCTCACGCAATTAAATATAATGCTAGAAGCATAGGCATATGTCTTTTAGGAAATTTTCAAGGTATATCTTAATGTATAATTATTCAAGGAGTAATTTGATTGGTGAACTTATAAAATCCGTTATTGACCCGCTCGCTCGTTGTGCGACTTTGACTTAACCAATTAAGAACCACGACGAAGAATCAGGAGGATATAGTTTGCTTGCACATACCCCACCACACCAGAAGTCCCAAACTACCAGACTCCTAGTGCTCATAAAGCACTTATTATACAGAATCGGAAAAATAGTATGTCTGCACTAATTTCTACTACCATGACATCTCAATCGTACGTTTTCTTTCTTAGTTTTGAATAGTGATGTTTATTTCTATCCTGAGATATAGGGGAAGCCTTTGTTTTGGCATTAAATATATGGGGGGAACTGAGCAATGACATTAAAGGCTACTTACTATTGACGGACTTCAGTATAGACAGTAGATTTGTAATAAGACATTTTTTCTCTACTCTTAATAACTTATATTGAAGGGTAAGTATCTAAGTGGATAGTGTATAACATTATTAAAGAAGATTTATTAGAGAAGTCTCACATCCGAAGAAGCCTGCAGAAAGAAACAAGACCTTTATTGAATATTGGGTAAAGAATGTAATAAGGCAAATGGTATATTCTTTTTTCTTTTGAAATAAAAGTTATACACTCAAAAATAGCCCCACTGTTCCAAATATATCATATGTACATCTGTAAAAAATATTACAAGAATTAAATTTTCGTTACAAAAAAACTTGAAGAAACAGCTTTTTAACAGAGAAAGACAAAATCATTTCTTGGAGACATGATTAATTAAGAAAAATAGCGGACGCAAGGAATAAGTAGTAACAGGTATTTTATTTAGATAAAATCTGGGTTAATGCTGGACATACAGTAACAAAAATTTGACAGATATCTGCATCAAAACTAAAAAACAAGTCTTACTAGAAGGGGTCATTTGTGGATTAAAAAATCCAACAGGAAAAGAAAATAATTTTATAACAACCCACATTGGAAGCAACGATGGATTTTTGCCAGATTTAATGTTAGAGTCAAAGAAAACAAACGACTGCCATGAAAAAATGGATGGTCACAAATAAAAGTAAAAATACCTAGATGTGAGCCAGTACCGTAGATATTTTATTACAAAATAGATCGTCTTTTTTATGGTCTGCAAATACGAGAAAAAAACACAAAATCATAATATTAATTAGAGGTGCTTTACATTATTGTTATTTAATGATAGAATTCGATATTTTAATTAGAGTCAAATGCAATAATCTAATGTTTAAAATTATGATATAAATACCGTAACCTTAAAAACTGAGCTATTAACATCTAGTTTTTATTTAACGAAAAGAATAATAAACTGAAAAGTAGTTCGTATTAGTTATTGCCACTATTACAAAAAAAAACCTTTACCAGAACAGGGCGTAAGAAAGTTATGGACAAAAGATGTTATACATTAAAATATTAATAAAATTAAAAATTATTTACTTTAAATTGACTCTTAAGATATTTAGCTACAGCTGAAACTTTAAATACGATAGGCAGAAGGCAATGGCAGTATTTGCAATTATTGCAGTTTAAGTAAACACATTTAAAACTTACTGGAATTGTAACTGGGCAATGGGAAGTAATAAACAAATAATTTTTTATGTCATTAGTAAAGTCGGTATTTTCCGAAAAATAATATTGTATTTTAGATCGTGTTCTGGATGAATTATCCATTCTTTGATTATCGAAATTGCTCCGTTGTTAAGTGTTATCTAGCACGTTCTTTCTATTATATAAAGAATACTGCCATTGATACAATTAAGAATTACCATAATACTATTAGCACAGTTAGTGTCCTAAATAGAAAAACACCAACAAAAGGTAGTCAACGTCCATGGTATGAATCAGAATCTGAATATAGAAAAAATTTATTGAAAAATCCCCAGTAGAAGCAATATCGATAATAAAAAGTAATGTTAATCATGACGTACAAATAGAAGTATTTTTTAAGGTCTTTTTTTAAGTCTTTATTCTTTAAATATCAATGTATAAATGTACCTACCTGTAAGTTGACATTTTCTTTTTATTTTATTTGTTTTTATTTAGTAATTACTATTATGCAGACAGGTTCTTCCTTATGCGAAGAATACTGTCAATACAAGATATAAGTAAATCCTAATTTTATGGTTCTCTTGGACAATTATTGTTCTTAATAGAGTAAAAAATATTAAATACACTAGTTACATGTAGTTCAATAATTAAGGTCGTTAATAAAACTACTGGTTGCATATGTTTGGACAATTAGGGTCCGTAATAAAAAAATGCTAGTTGCATGTCTTTGGTTATGTAGTGCTTATTTGCGTTTCATTTATTTGTACGTTATTTTCGTAATTAAGTAATCATGATTAGAATTGGTCATTTGGAGAGTTTACTAATTAAATAGTCGGTTCAAATGTTATTTACATGGTCAAAAATATGAAAATAATGTCAAAAATGATAACTAATGATAGAAAAAATCAATATTTTCAATTCGTGGCAGTCAGCGACAAAAAGATTAAACTCACCGAGTTTAATGTTTCTGAAGTCCAATCTACTAATCTCGTTCGGAAATTTTCGGAATTTTTCGTGGGCGTACTGGATCCACAGTTCCTCCTAGTAGGATCCGCTGAAAAATCCGGGTTATAAGTAACCGCAGCAGGCTCGAAATACCGAGGCCAAACATAAAGCCGCCGCTAAGTATCTCACTAACAAATCAGATGTATCCGCAAAATCCTTGAAGGTCGAACATTCTTCGGGGTCACCAAATTGTGGGATCTTTTAAATGGTAATAATAATAATACTCTTCCTAATGATTGTATCCCATCAATAAATAAAAATTTATTTATAAAAGTATAATACAACTGGATGTCATGGCATAGATATAAATTATAAAAAACAAAAGTTATAATTATAAATAAACAATTCTTGTTTCCCTCGCGATGGGTTCAGCCTTTTGTCTTTGCTAGTACTGCCACGAAAGGTTATCTAAATGATGACAGCAATTTAATGTATATGACGTTATGAAAATGAAACAGATATGTAGTTCAAGTATGTCGCTGATTGTCGCTACACTGGCGCAGTTTGTTGAATTGGAGAGGATGAACAGGAGACTTTTTCGAAAATAATTGGCCTGGAAAGAATTTGGCGGCCGATCTTGTAATTTTATTATTTTTATTTGATACGTATTTCCTTCTTGTTTAATATTTTTATAAATTAAAATAATTCAAATTAACAACCAAATTTTACATAAAAGAGAATATTTCGAGAGCGACATATAGATCACTATGGCCATGTTAGCGGGTAAACAAATTTTTGTGTGATTACTTACTATAAAACATTGGCAGTTAAGAGCGGGAAGTGCGGGGAACTGTTGCAGTAGCAGAGTACCGTTGGCGCTCCTCCAGGCAGAACGATTTGAGTCACCTTGACTGTCTAGTGTGATCAGATGTTGCTGTTGGCTGATTCTCACGCATTGTGTTCTATCGGTAATCACTTGGTAACTAAATAATTATTTGACCTAATAATTAATAAAATCTAACATATATTTGGATAGTTGTATTATACCAGATTTACAAATAAAAATTAATTTCATACTTTTTATATTTTGCTTCTATAAAATTCGTGGCTGCTTATAGCTTAGATGATACAACCACATTTTTATTGTCATAAACGTGAGAAAAACAGATAAATATTTAAATTATTATAAAAGAGAAGCACTTAAGTTCTAAAGTAAAATTATTATTAATTTTTTTAGAATCCCTTATGGTTTTTGCAAAGCCGAGAAGCATGATAAAGATTGGTATTTAAAAAGTTAATTATTTAAGAGGAACATAGTACCTTATTCCCGTAAAAATCAGAGGAGCTTAAAATAAAAAAAAATAAAATGAACGTTTTAATTTACAGTGATTGAGCGTATACTCGTACATTCAGTCAAAAAAAATTCACCAAATTTCAACATTGGCCGCAAATATATACAGGGTAGGGTGTCTAGGCGCCTTATATTGCGGACGTAAAATTAAATATTATTTAAAAAAATTCTACAACTAGTCAAATAGAAATTAAGAGCAGAAATTAAGTAGAGGTGTTCACCTTTTTATTAGTGAGGGCTGGATGCACATGTTTCGAAAACACTTTATTTTTAATACGGTCCATACTATTTGGTCGAGTTCCAAGGAATTTGAAACATAGGGACCTAATTAGATTTTGGGCATAGTCGGAGCAACTAGGGTGGGGGGTATTTTTAAGAGTTCGTTTTTGTAATTTTAAGAATATTACTATTATTTATTTTATGATTAAATAACAGAATTCTTAGGCTAAATGTCATCTCTTATTTTTGTTACATAAATTATGTTCCTTAAATGGATTATATTGAGATATTGGATGAAAAGTAAAAACATGTTTTTTATATTTTGACCAGGATCTAATTTAAGTGGGAAGTCATATGTTGAGACACATGAGATATAAATAATATAATTTAGGATTTTAAACTATTGTTTTAAAATTTTAATTGTCACCGTTTGAGACGATACAATAATACTACAAATCTTCTTTTATTTTCAGAACAAACTCCACCAGAAATTCAGACAAAATCTTTAAACGAGCTAGTTTCTTGTGCCAAACAAACAGAAAAAGTAGAAGACCAGTACCATCTAATTGGACATCGACAAGCAAGTGCCACTTTATGTCCTGGAACTTTTTTGTTTAAAATAGTTCAAGGCTTACCCCAATTTGATCCACATCCACAATAAATAAAGAATAAATAGAAGTAGAAGTATTTGTGGATTTGTATATAATCCATAAATCACTGCATCAAGATTCCAAAAAATGTTTTTATCAGTAGATATGAGTTACAGAGTTTCACCAAGACGGTCCCAATAGACAAGATTACAGAAAATTATAAAATAGTAGCAAATAAGACATTAAATTATATTAATTTATTTTAATTTAGGCAAAGGTAATTAGACCTGCGTTCTTGAATACAAATTATATATATTTAAATTTAAAATCATTGTCAGATAATACAAAATCTCTTTTTTTAAATAAATATATTTTGTAGAAGGTACAGTTTTATTCATAATATAATGGCAACGAACTTTTCATTCGAATTATACACAATATTTTTTATACGTCCACATTATTTTTAGAAATAGCTATATATTATTTTAAAAAATGCTAAAAAAGTTACTATTGAAAATTATTATTAAACAGGTTAATAAATAATAGCAAATGGAGCAAATAGCAGCTTCTTGGAGGAACTTGGAGCTTCTTAAAGCTTATTGGAGGATCTTAAGCTTCGTAGAGGAGCCTGGAGCTTCTTAAGCTTCATAGAAGAATGGCCTCTTCTTGGAGCCACTGCAGGTTAAGAAATAAAAGAAACTCAGACCGTGTGTAAAAGTACATATACATGCCAGTTTGGAAATCTAACGGATTTATGCATAAACAAGACAAATATTAAAGTTACATCATCTGAACAGAATATAAAATATTTATAAGGCCAAAATAAGTTACAACAATAAGTTTTACATAATCTGAACAGAATATAAGCTATTTATAAGGCCAAAATAAGTTTAGAGCCATAAATTTCCGTTTAAACTGTATATTCAGACTGACTTGTAATTTAATTATTTAGTTGCCTCCCCGCGTATATATCAAAGTAATTCAATGATAACAGATTTATACAGGGTGGGGCATAATGGAGGGGCGTTTTTAGATCGGCTAGTAAAGGCGAACGGGTGGGGGTAGAGAGCTGCGGTTGACATCGTTGGTTTCAGGAAAACTTACCATTTGTTATCCACAATGGTTATCTGGACAAGAGAGTATCGCGTGTTCGCAGTTGAGGAGTATTTAAAATCGGGCGAGTCCGTTATTGTTGTGCAGCGACAACGCTTCAATATCGTAACGGTTCAGCTCCTAAACGTGACACAATTAACAGGTGGGTACAGAATTTTAGAACGACGGCATCAGCAATTAATTCAAAACCTAAAGGTGGTCCCCCGAAGTGTAAGGACACCAGCTTCCGTAGAAAGGGTGAGACAAGCAGTAATTCAAAGTCCACAGCGTTCTGTCCGAAAACGGGCTGCAGCAGTTTGAATGAGTAATCGAACACTTTGCAGGATTTTACACCAAGACTTTCCCTTTCACCCCTATAAGCTCATGGTAGAAACTGAACTTTATATATTTTTGTTTTCATTAAACTTTTTTTTCGTTTCTCGTACTTCAGTTTTATTCTTTAGTATGTAAAAGTAAAGAAAAAAATATAAAGTTCGTTAATATTCATGTTCAAAAGTAACTCGAAGAGATTTACTCGACTTGGAACCTTAGAAAAATTCGGGGCGACCTTCTAATATTAAAATTTCGACTTGAAATTTTTAGGATCTTCATGATTTTTCTTATAGAAAAAAATGAAATAATGAGAAAAAAAATTTAAAACAAAAAAAAATCCGTTTTCTACGATTTTGGATTTTTTTAAAAATTCGGAGCGACCCTTTAAAAATTTTGTTTTGAGCTGTCCTTTGGAGGGGGCTCTTAAAACATGATAAACTAACATACTTTCATAGGAGACTTAAAAAAAAATATTTTCTTTTTTGGGCCACCCTAAAGAATATAGTATGGCATAGGGACCCAGTTAACGTCCACGAATTATTCAACTATTTCCAAAAATTTTATAGCTATCGTCTGAGCGACGTCGAATGCCTGAAGGTTGACAACGGAACAACTGAAACTTATGTAACTAAGTAAACATATTTTTTTAAGTTTAATTTTAGGCAGTTTCCTTCACTGGAAGTTGGTAAGTATATTTGGTAGGTTACAATGAACTTTAACGTAAACATTTACAAACTCATCATTTAACAAAAAACCTGTAGTTTTACATTAATCATCTACAACCCAAGAAAACTGAAATCAAAAAATTAAATAATAAGGTGTAAGAACCAGAAGAACATAGCTTTATGGTAAAATTAAGAAGTATGCAATATATTTGTTATGTGATTAAGTCTATGTTAACGTACTGCTAAGACTCAACTCTCTATTACTTATTTACTGTTCATTATTGACGCAAAATTGTTTTTAAAAACTGTCAAACGATATTTCAATTGATATTTATGCTTAAAAACGTATTTAAAAGTAGTTTTGCGTATCCTATATAATTAATTGCCTGACTTCTGATCTTCATATTCTTCCTAATGGGTATTGTTGGACCGCAAAAATGAAGTTTGCATTTTTTCCACAAATTAAGAAATGTTGCATTTTTCAAATTTTCCACACATTTGGCATTTTTCTTTCATAAGTTCAAAAATGTTGCATTAATTTTCTATTTTCAATCCCAAAGGTTCACTTCCAAGTAAAGTATCGGTCGTAAACTTAGCGGGTGGTTATAATCCATTTCTTAAGAAAAATATTTATATGAGGTCTTCACACGATGAAAAAAAAGATGGGGTTTCTGTTATTTTAAAAATATTTTAACATTTTTTTTAATTTGTTTGTAATCGTCCCCATGTTTTATTAATTTTTTTAACCCGAAGATGGAAAAGTTTGCCGAAACATATGTAGTGCTGTGCTAAACAATTGAAAATTAAAAAAAGACCGAATAAACCAAGGAAATTTTTTATTTAAATAAAATTCTGCTTCGTTCAAAAAATTATTCTTATTCAAACTTTTATATTGTAATTGATGAAAATAATTAGAGTTCCACATGAAGATAAACCAGGGAAAGCACACCTCATATCATCCATAAGTACCTGGAAAAAACAAAAAATTTCTCTGTAACTAGATTTATACAGGATTCAATAATTAACATTTTACCAGATCTTGTCCCTTCTAGTAAATTTATAATTTTAGTGTAGGACGCTGCCGCTTATATGATTAAAGTGGCACAAAATTAAAAAAAAAAAAAAATTGTGAGCACCTTATCCATGTAACGTGCGTGGGGCTGACATTATTAATAGAGTTGCAAAATGTATTAGATCTCAGTTCCAATCGTTAATAATTTGATAAGTAACATTAAAAAAGTTTTTCTTAAATCTCCATTAAGAATTCAATTTTATAAAGAAAATCTTCCAGATATAACGCTACCACCAAAACCAATGATAACCCGGTGGGGCACATAACTTAATGCAGCTTTATTTTATGCGGAACATTATGAATCAATAAAAAAGTCATTTTTGATTTAACAGATTCTTCAGATGCTCTCTCAGTGTATAAAGAGTTATTTAAAAATCTGATATCCAACACATGACTTTCCTATCTAGTTATTATAGGCTTTCTCCGGTTATTTTGTAGAACCTATTGCAGCACCTCTATAAATGTTTAGAGGATAAACTAAATATACAGCGTGAGTCGGGAGGAGCGCACCAAACTCTAGGAGTATATTATACACGTGAAAATAATGTAAAAAAACTCATATTTTCTTGTCCGATTTTCATTTGTTTTCAAGTTATGGCGTAATTAAAAATGTTCATCTAGCTTTCTACTTCTGAATTTTAACATTATCAAAGTATGCCATATGTTCAAGGCTCAAAGGCATTTGATAATTCTGACATTTTGATGAACTATCAGTGTACAGTGAACAGTAACTGGATGTTTAATTTCGAATTTATGCGATTCTTAGTGTTGCGAAATGCCAGATACTTATTCAAATTTAGAATATGCAAATATGGTGTTTGTTTAGGTTTCTGTAATGGAAATGCTACAGCTGCTGCTGAATAATATCGTCAATGTTTTCCACACCGAAGACATCCTGATAAAAACGTATTTATTAGAGTTTTCAACAAAGTGTGCGAGACTGGTAAGCTTCCCAGTGCTTTGATAACATTTGAACGCGCTACTCGACAAGGTTTTGTAGAAGTAGAAAATATTCTGCATCTAGTAGAAGAAGATGCAACTACTAGCTCACGGAGAATTGCCACTCAATTGGGAATTCCACAAAAAAGAGTGATAAACACACTTCACGAGCAAGGCTTATATCCTTATCACGTACAGAGAGTACAGCACCTACAACCACAGGATTACGCTAACCATATGGAGTTTTGTCGGTGGATAAATAATAATCATCGTGTTGTATCGAGTATACTCTTTACGGATGAAGTTACATTCACCCGTGATGGCATTAATAATACTCGTAACTATCATGTATGGTCAGACGAAAATCCCCACGCAATAATCGAAAGCAATTTTCAACATCGGTTTTCTGTAAACGTGTGGTGTGGTATGGTTGACAGTTATTTAATTGGCCCTTTCATTTTGGAGAATCGTCTCACAGGAGACAACTACTTAAATTTTTTACAAAATGAATTACAAGGCCTGCTAGAGGATGTTCCTGTAAATATTAGAATGTAGATGTACTATCAGCACGATGGAGCTCCTGCACATGTCGCTGGTCAGGTCAAGCAACATTTTGACGAACGTTTTCCAGGGCGTTTGATTGGTCGTGGAGGTCCTATTAATTGGCCTGCAAGATCTTCATACCTCACACCATTAGATTTTTGTTTATGGGGCTGGATGAAAAATGAAGTCTACAAAATAAAAGTGGACACACGGGATGCACTAATTAGACGAATTGAGAATACTACAGCCCATATTAAAGAAGAAAGAAATGAATCAATTAGGAGATCAATAAACGCTCTTCGTAGACGAATCAGAAAATGTTTAGAAGTCAATGGTGGTATTTTTGAATATTTATTGAAAGAACGCTTTGATTAAGAGAATTTTATGTGTAAATTTGTTTGTTTGTTAATATGCTATAACTTGAAAACAAATGAAAATCGGCTAAGAACATATGAGTTTTTTTACATTATTTTCACGTGTATAATATACTCCTAGAGTTTGGTGCGCTCCTCCCGAATTACCCTGTATACTTTTTCCACATAGAGCTAATTCAAAAAATACTGAAAAATTAAAATTTAGCACTTTTTCTCCAATTTTCCCATTACGGTCCATTTTAGAAAAATCATGTAAAAAACAAAAATTATAGGAACCGATATCGCAAACAACTTTTTGTTTTAACAATTTTCTTAAAAATCATAATTTTGTA